TTTATTAAAATATAAGACTTTTCAGTTGCATTTTCTAGAAAATAATTTCATGTGTTCTTTTAATTAGTCTTATGGTCCTGAGAATACTAAAATTGAGAAACTGAATATCAAATGGATCCACTCTTTCATGAAATCTTATTAATTCAGGGATCTTTCAGGTCCTCCAATATGCTGCTTTTCCAAAGGTTCCTTGTCCTTGCTCTGAATCATCTATTTAGTTTCTTAAAAATTATATACTCAGCTAGCTTTTAATACAAAGTGTGAAAACAATAAATAAGAAGTAGGGCAACTGCAAGAACTCTTAACTAGCTGCTTCTCTCTTTGTCTTTGGTCAGTATTTCTCCATAATTGTCCTTCCTGACATTCATATGGCTTTCAAAAGTTTTCTTTAAGAATTTTTGAGGTTCAGAATGCCCATTTGTTGATATTTCGTAAATGTTACCAAATTTTATCATACAGAGTATGGTATGTTGAATTAATAAACATTTTTAAACTAGTTTTAATTCTGAGAATGGATAACTTATGTGACTATGTAGTTGTCACCAAAAAATACTGGTTTGAAGTTAGTTATTTGAGAGACTCAATTAACAAAATATTCTAGGTAACAAAATGATTTAGGGTTTGATGGTTAGCTGAAGGTACCACCTAATTCTGTAAATTGTGTCTTATTAACATAACTGCCCCTAATCTTGCCTCATTAGCTTTGTAGAGGTTAAGAGTTACAATACATAGAATAATTACTCTAGGTGATAAGGGGAAGAATAAGTTTATACTATGGACAATCTCTGCCAAGCCAAGTTGACACATAATTTTGAGAAACACAATTCAGTCCCTAACAGTTATCAGTGAGATAGATTTAATAGGTTTGTTTATATAGGTAATTATGTATATGTAAGAAAGATACCATTTTAATAATAAAATATATTTTCTATATAAGTCTCCATAGTTTTTTAAAGTTGAAATTTCTGTTTCAGAACTGTTCTGTGTTCAAATATAATTGATTTTCACTTAAAAAATTTAAATGAACTTCTAAAATTATTTTAGGATGACAATCTAATGGATGTCCTACAGCTGCTGGTTGCATTGATGTCTGAGCATCCTAATTCTATGATTCCTGCTTTTGACCAAAGTAATGGATTGCGGTAAGATTTTAATATATAAAGAGTTTACTATGAGAGTTTTAATACCATGCATTTGAAAATATAGAATATTTCTTTATGACAAGTATCACTGAATATTTTAATATTTAAGACTTACTGCATCTGTAGGATTTGAAAAGAGAATATTGAATTATAAACTGTTAATTTTTCTTATTCTTTCCCTCCCATATTTTAGTATTAATTTTAATGAAAGTTTACAGAGTCTTTGGATTTCCATTCATTCATTGTTGCACTTTTCTCCCTGTCCACCCCCACTCCCAGTTGACTCAATTGTTATACAATTCTCCTCCCCTCCCCCCACAAGTCCACTCCACTGTTCAGACTTCATTTTGGTCATGACAATAATACATAATCACATATCCTTTTTAAACAGTTCTCTCCCTCATCTGTTTCAATGCAGTATACATTATTTATTCCCTCTTTTCTTAAGTTCTGGTTCAAAATCAGGAAAGGAATGTGTCAGGGATGCATTCTGTCTTTATACCTTTTCAGTCTTTATGCTGAACAGATCATTCGGGAGGCTCAACAGGAGAAAGGAGATATCAGGATTGGAGGAAGTTTCATCAACAACCTACATTATCTAGATGATACAACCTTGCTTGCTGAAAAAGAGGAAGACCTGAAGTATTTGCTACAGAAGGTGAAGGACTATAGTCTTCAATATGGAAGCTCAACATTAAGAAGACAAAGATTCTCACCACTTGCCAATTGGCAGCAACATGATAGATGGAGAAGAAATTGAGGTCGTTAACAATTTCAGCTTGCTTGATTCCACAATCAACATTCTTGGCACTATCAGTCAAGAAATGAAAGGACGAATTGCACTGGGAAAATCTGTTGTTAGGAACCTCTCTAGAGTGCTAAAGAGCAAGAGTGTCAATCAGAGACCAAGGTACACCTGATCCAGGCCATGGTCTTTGTAATTACTTGCTATGTATCAGAGAACTGGACAGTGATTAAGGAAGACAGAAAAATTGATGCCTTTGAGTTGTAGTTGTGGAGAAGAGAATTGACCGTACCTTGGACTGCCAAAAGAACAAACTGGTCTGTCTTGGAGAGGGTAAAACCAGGCTTCTTCTTGGAGGAAAAGATTTGAAGCTCTGCCTCACATACTCTGGGCATGTGACCATGAGGTACAAGTTCCTAGAGAAGGACATTATGCTTGGAAGAGTGGAGTGATAGTGCAGGGATTGAAGATCCTGGATGAGATGGTTTGACATGGTAACTGGAGCAGTGTGGTTTGATGTCTCAAAGACAGTGAAACTGGTTCAAGAAAGGGCAGAATTCAGAGCTGTTGTACATAGAGTTGCTAAGAGTTGCAGGTGATTTGATGGCACACAACAACAACAACAGCAGCATGACAGTAATATCAAATACCCTCTCCTTAAGATCTTGGAGCCAAGGAGACAGTTGTTCATGGAGCTAATTAGGCACATGCTGTGCTACTATTTAATTGATGAAGAGAGATAAATAATTCAATGTTTTGTGTGGTGAATGTTAAGGTAGAGTAATAGAAAGGGATAGAATCTTTAGCCAGTGTATCTTTAGATCTTTGAACAGTAGTTTTCAGTTGAAATCCAAGGAAAGGGCTCTAGTCTCCTTTCAAAGTATGCCCAGTTTATCAACTCAATGCTAAATTGTTCTTCTTAGTTGTTGTTGAGTCAGTCCTTATTAAAAATGACTCTGTTAAATCAAAACAACTATGAGATATCTCACCCCAGTAAAAATAGCAAAATTTAACAGAAGAGCCAACAACTAGTGCTGGGAATGTTGTGGAGAAACTAGTAGAACACTTATTCCCTGTTGGTGAGAGTGTAAAATGGTGCATCCATTATGGAAGGCAGTATGGCGCTTTCTCAAACAGTTGATAAGCATTTGACCCAGCAATTCCAATACTGGGAACATACCCTAAAGAAACCAGAA